TTGTCTGAAATGAAGCGAAGTGAACGAACTAACAGATGATCGCTTTCTTCGTATTTGGTTTTCAAGTCAAAAAATTCTAAAAGTAGAAATTAATTATCTTCAAAGAACCCGCACAAGTATTTTTATAGGTTGCTAAAAAAGCATAACTTACTTTGAACATACTGATTATTGTCCTTGAATTTTTCCCAGGCATCAATCCACTTGGAGTCCTTATGAAGCACGATTCCAGAAGATTCCCTGAAAAAGCCAATAAGCCCCACAAAAGAAATTAAATACAGAAAAAAGACAATGGAATAACCTACATATCAGCCTCAACGATCCTCTCAGGAGAAATACCAGTAATTTCAGCTCGAGTTCTGGGTCTATCAGGAGCACGATAAACCAGAGCACGTTCAGACTGAAGCTCCTGTTCTAATGCTTCCAAACTCTATAAACACTATAAATGAGTCAACCGGCTCAACTTTACCTCTCTAGCGGATTTAACGAACTCTGTCTTTCCAATTGATCGCGACACACCAGCGATTTGTTCACCGGCCCTCGATATACCCTCGATACTCTTACGAATTATCTCTTGTTTCTTCAAATTTTCACCCTCCACTTTGAGCTTTTTAGCGGCAGATTCAAATTGATCCTTAACTTTTTCCATTGTATCAGTGTGAATTTCGCTTTCAATTTTTTTCTACGTGGGTAAGGTTGAAAAAAAATAAAATCACATAGAATGCACGCATTGACTGAATTTCTTTTGACTTCTCAAGTTTCTCTGTTTCTTCGCGGAATTTCCTCACGCTTTCCTATATATTGTTAAAGAGATAAAGGCTGACCAACTTTCATTTGCTTATCACGATCGGACTCTTCCTTAAGTTTCTTCATGAAATTTTGAATAAAATTTCCTCCACCGGTGGAATAACGTGCATAATTCTAGAAAATTCAAAAACAAAAATACATTATTTACTGTGGGCCGCGCAAGATGCAATAACCGTAAATTTCTGGCGAGTAGTGACATCACCCAATAAAAGCAGACAGAGGATTCGAAAATTGGATCAAGTATAGCAATAACTGTAACAAGGTTCAAGGAAGCTATAATTAATTGTTACATTGCTATTCCTAGAAATTTTTATAAATAAAATAAATCTTATTTTGACAAACTACTGGTATGAGAGAGGCAAAAAATAGCGAAAATTTTGTTTGCACAAATTATTCTACAATTTAAACAGATAACCATATAATCTCAAAAGGATTTTATAGAATACATTTTCGGTAACCTTTCTTGGAAGGTAAATATTTAATCTTCATAAAATATTGAACCTAGTTAACCTTGAGTTTTGTTTTTCCCGACTATGTAATCAATCAGTATTTTCAATTAAAATGTGTTATGTTGATTTCTATGATCGAACCAAAATCCATAACCCCATGATTTGCGTCGGAGCCATTCTTATCATCACCAGCATTTTTATGATAACTCTTGGAATAGCACGCAACCGTGAAGATGTTTGGGTCGCTGGTATTCTAGTTGCAATAGCAGCGGTTCCGGTTTTTCTATTTGGTTTATTTATTTTCTGCTATCTAAATCGTCCTGGCAGAGTTCCTGGTCTTGAACAAGACTATTCTGTTAGTAAGTTCTCAATTCCACCCATGGTGAATGTCCCCCAAGGCAGCCGAATGCTCTACCCCATCAAAGGTTACGATTTATCTAGTAATATTTACAGACTTCCATATTCACAATTAATGAGCTCACAATATGCACAACAAAAATGAATTTATTCATGTAATTCATCTTATAAAAAAATAAAGAAATGACAATTTTATTATAAACCCTTCCATATTTCTATACAGGACAAATTCAGTAGTGAACTTCGAAATCCGAAATACGCCAATCAGTAAATGGCTCATGTCTTCCTTCGTCGAATAAACTTCTGGAAGATTTAATCATAGCTCCACCGAGGCAGACTTCTCCATTATAAATAGCTGCAAATTGGCCTGGGGCAATGCATCTCATCGGTCTCTGCAGATAAATAGTTAAGGCATGGGGATAAGAGACATCTTTATCTATTCGACATCCTATGGGGCGCCATTTATTCTGCCACTGAAAATGAAATTCATCTGAAGGTAAAGGAGGACATTCTTCTGATATCCACACAGCAGGTTCAGTGACACAGTATTGCATATAAAGTGATGGGTGATTATCACCTTGAACCTGTAGAAGTAAATAGAAAATTAAAAGAACTTACAATAAAAACTTCTTGAGATTCAGCGTCCAATTTTGTCACGTAAAATGCTTCATTACCCCAAGTAACACCAGGAATCTTTTGGCCAATTGTAAAGTGATGAACGCCAGAATGTTCACCAAAGATACGCCCAGTCTCTAACTCAATAATAAGTCCTCGAGTTGGTTCTATATACTGAAAATGAAAAGAAATAAACAAGAAGCAATTACTACTTTGTCGATAAATTTCGAGAAATTTCGCTTGCCAATGAAGCATATGCCCATACTCTAAAACATAAAGATAACAGAGAAATTAGACGTGCATCTAGTAAAGAAGAGTTTCACGATTCTAAAGTAGATTAGTTGGTAGCTTAAGCGACTAAGATTTGGGAAAGAGCCTCCTAGCTAAGCGAGAAAAAGTTTTAGTCTTTTACGATTAACTACGTGACAATCATCTACAATTTTTTCGCAACAACTTTTATGCACTTTATTAAGTCAGTATGCTCGAAAAAGGTCCAAAACTGAGACAATTTTCATTAAGCAAAACAAGGAACATCAAGTTTTCATAGGTCGGAAATTTATGTATACAGTTGAAGTTCTGCTCAATTATTTAGCCAAAACAACAGATTCATGAAAATATGCTCATAAAACTCACCAATTTGCCCACAATCACACTCATTGATATTTTCTAACAATTTATACACCATGACGTGTCCATATGGATATCATTAAGTAAATAGGATATGCTTTGTTGTTAGAACTGAAAATAGGGCCGAAGAAATGTCAAACCCTAAACATGATATTAATCCATTAGCGACATTCTAAATATTCTACCAATGAGCATCATTGAATAAAACATTTCGATTTCCGTTAAATAACACTGTAATTCTAAGCATATATTTTAAACTAATGAGAAGATAATCCTGAGCCTGGGCCCAAAGATATGTATTTTGACAATACAGACCAAACACACTCACCTCTTTCCTCTTAGCAATCTTTTCAAGACCAATCGATGCAGCGATTTCCTTTACTTTCGGTTTTGTTAAATCTCCAATAGGAAACATGCAATGTTGCAAATATCTCCAAGATATCTAAAACAGGTAATGAAATACTGTTAAGACATTAGGTAAGCGAATACATCAAGTATATGGCCAAATGAAAGAACTAACATTGCAAAGCCAAAAAGTCTGATCCTTCACACGATCAATGGATCTCAATAGAAAAGCACGAGAATATTCATTTCGTTTTTCAAGGAAATTGCCAAATGAATTTCGCGCATAATGACCAGTAGCGAAAGCGTCTGCGCATATAGATGGATGACAGTTTGCAGAGTGCTTGAGTGTAAATTCAGACAATTTCTCAAATTTCACAAATCGATTGCAAAGAATGTCTGGATTTGGAGTCATGCCTCTGGCATACACTTCCATGGTTTTACTAGTTCGTTAATAAGTCTTAACATATCAAACCTGAATACGTCATTCCAGTATTCTTTCACAAAATTCAATTCTACAAAGTCAATTCTAAGCGTCTTAGCAACATATTTAGCATCATCCCTATCGGCGTCAATTGAGCATTTGACTTTTTCATCCCGTTGGTCCCAATTTGTCATAAATACACCAACCACATCAAAACCTAAAATTTAATATTTCTGAAAAAAATGCCGCTACCCTGTCGTTTAACCAAATAAGCAGAAACGGCACTATCGACTCCTCCCGAGATAGCACACGCGACACGCCTAATTGGGTCACTTAACTTGGCCATCCTAGTAAATGAAGGTCAGAAATTAGCATTTAATTAATCTAACAACATTAAAATCTCTTTAAAATTATATATTGGAAATTGAATAAAGGTGTCGATTTATGTCTCAATCTGATAAGATTGAAGTTTCGGGAATAAGTAATTTGGACAATATAATGGAATAATGCATTTACTTATTATAAATGAGATACTAGTATTACTAATTATTTTCAGCTTGATATTGAATTTTAACAATAAAATAAGAATTTTAATATATCACATTACTTAAAGAATATTTAATGTTATTATAAGAAGGATGAATTCTTCGAACGGTACCCAAATCATTCACATTTCGAGTTCTATATCACATATCAGATGGAGACTCAGTAGATTAACTTAATTATCATTCAGCACCTTTCATGAAATGGTTGTTTCTGTCTGGGAAATAGGAAGATTTTCTGACTTGTAGAGAAAGGAAAACTTTGGTAATTGTGGAGGCAGAAATGTAAATAAGTTCAATGTGACCTTAATTTAAATATCTTTCGGTGATATCACGAATAACTTTGAGTGCTAGAAATACCTTAAGAACTAATTTGCCGTAACACAATTTATTTGACTTCAAACCCTTTGATTTCCAGTATCGAATATAGACATATAACTAAAGTAAGCTTATCATCGAACTTAATGATTACATAATAAAACAATCAATTAGAATTCAGGCTGCTACTAATTAATGCATGAAATGCTGAAAATCATTAAAGATAAAAGGAATTGAATAAAATTAAAGAATACATACCTAATTAGTGCACCATTAATGATTCAAAGATAATTGAACCACTTTTATATGAAACCAATTTCCTTCTTTTAAACTCTCAGCGCCTATTAGTTCTCACACGTTGACTTTAACATTCATGAAATAAAAATTGAAACACTCAAAAACAATTAATTCAATAAATGAATGTTAAAATGATTTTGTTCAGTTTAGAAAGCCATAATTAAATCTAATTTATATTTATCATTTCGTCTCATGTAATGAATTTAAAAGGGGATAAAATTATACTTTAGTAAAGTTAAACAGGCTGGTGCAAAATCTATCAAATTGAAGTAGATCACTAAAGTTCTCTAAACGATACGGAGTTGGCTGAAAAGTAACTGCAATTTATTGATAAATAAATTAGGTTTATTTTAATAAAGTCGGAAATTTTTATTTTTCATGGATATTTGAGTTATAAATGAAGTTCAAACTCGTATAAACCCAACTGCGCCACTTATTATTATGTTGGGACAGATTTTCTCATCTTTCATTTAAAATCACAAATGCCCATTATGAACCAATTATCTATAGCCAATAGTGAAATACAATACGTTTTCTTCATTATATGATGAAGAAATTTACTGCAGTAATACCGGCTCATAAAGAGCAAATTTAACCTAAAATAGGAAAATATGAATATTAATGGGCAATTAAATTGTATCACTCTAACTTAATGGGCCAATAATTCAATATTAAACCAGTCTCTTAACTATTGCAATATGCTAAGTTAATTTAAAATGATGAAAATATTTTTTAATAAAAATCTTACTATAACTATGGGCAATTTTTACCCTGGGTTTTTTTAATCGATCATCATGGCGTCCTTCTATGTGTTTGTTTAATCTAATAGCCTGCTCCACATTTGAGTATTTGCTATTTATTGTGCTAAGTTGTTATTCTGGAAATGGGTACCTCCACCAAGCGTGATGAATGTGTTTACATGGCCAAACTGTGTGAGCAGTGTGAACGTTACGATGGTATGTTTGCATTACATTTAAGCTAATTGTCGTATAGAAATGGTGAAAGCCATGAAAGAAGTTTTGGAAACTGGTGCCGAACTTACTGTCGAGGAAAGGAATCTCTTATCTGTTGCCTACAAGAACGTCGTTGGTGCTCGTCGTAGCTCGTGGCGTGTAATTAGCAGTATCGAGCAAAAGCATGAGGGTGACCCCAAGACGGTCATTGCTAAGAAAGTTCGAGAAGAGATAGAAAAGGAACTCCAGGCTACTTGCAAGGAAATCCTTGAGTTGCTTGAGAAGACTTTGGTTCCCGCTGCCAAGACTGCCGAGTCACAGATTTTCTTCTTGAAAATGTATGCTTTCTTTCATTAGCTTTCATTTGTTTCATAGGAAGGGTGATTATCACCGCTATGTTGCCGAGTTTTGCACCAATGAGGAGCGCAAGACAGCCTCTGAAAATAGTCTCATTGCTTACAAACAAGCTACAGAAGTTGCCGAAAAGGAAATGCCAACCACAAACCCAATTCGTCTTGGCCTTGCTCTAAACTTTTCTGTCTTCTATTATGAAATCATGAACGACCCTAACCATGCTTGTGAACTTGCAAAGAAGGCTTTTGAGGCGGCTGTTGCTGAGCTCGATTCGCTGCCGGAAGAGAGTTATAAGGACGCTACTCTCATAATGCAGCTCTTACGCGATAATTTGACCCTGTGGAATAGCGACACTACGTGCGATGCTGAAGGACCGGACCTCAAAGAATAACAAATATCGTCGGAGTTTATAGCTATGCGCCCGCTCTCGACAGATCAGTTAATTAAATAAACCTTCTTACGAGACCGTCTTGTTGTCTCCTGATAGTAGTCATTATTCAAATTATTAAATATACATCATTGGTGAATCGACACCCCTCTAGTCCTCTATTTCCTGTTGCTTTTCTGCACTGACATGCTCTTCTCAACTTAGGCTATTATTAGCTTGTTTCAGCTTTTAGTTTTGTCTTGAGTTCCGCCCTTTTCTTGTTTTGGCATATTACTTCCTTCTGAATCTAAGTTCATCTCTATAGTGGGTAATTGGTCTTCCTGGTTTCTGCCAAATCATGATCGCTTTCTAATTGTAGGCTCGTAAGTTATTCCCCCGCTCTAGCAGGAAATTGGGCGTTTGTGAAGAGCGTCGATCACTTGGCTCGCGAACACGGCGTCCCAGTAGTTACTTTCATGGAGAACGTGCGAGACGTTGCTTGTTTTCTATTGGTTCCTTTAATTTAGTCTCATTTTCTATTGGTCGCTCTCAATGACGTCAAATCCTAGTTCTCCCGCCGCATGCCAAATCATCGACCAATTGTCTCATGTGTGCGTCAGTGCTACCTCGTCTTCTGTCTTGGATGTATTAGTCAGTCACTGCGCGCAATGCAATATAGTATGTGCTAGCCACCGCGTTTTTTCATACCCATCTATGCGTGCCTTCGGATGCGCAGCCAACATGCATACATAAACACACATGCTTAGTTTGAAAGGTGTAGTTAATTCACTCTCTTATGATGTCACTCTTGTACGCATAAGAAACATTTTACTAGAAAGGTACTTGCGTTAGCCGCGATTTCATGCAAATCTCTGAAATAAGGCAAATCCATTTTAGTTACTACGGCCAGGGTGCAGTAGTAGTTATACGACCTCTTTCGTGAAAAGAAGTTGGAGTGCTTCGTGTATTTCTTATTCGTAAGCCACCTAATGTGTGGACTGCATTTTCAGCTGTAGCAGGTTTAAAGTGCAAGGACAGCAATTGGCGATGGGCCTGTAACCATGGTTTCTAAGAGGCACAGTTTACCCAACCTCGAAAATTATCTTAACCTGGTTTGCAGACGTTTCTTTGAGATTTCATAAAATGCTTACGGTTAGACAAGGATGATGCTATATGGAGCGATTGGCTGAATTCATTCCAAGTAGAATTTTTGAAAAAAGCTGTTCCAAGCACCTTCGCATTATCAAACTAACACTTTCAAAAGTGCTTCCGGGTAAAAAAAGCTTTTCATCTTCGTCGATAGCTTACACGCACAGAAAGAAAATCTCACAATCATATTTGAAATGTGTTCCCTCTTCACCTTGAGCCTAACTTTAGGTGCTATGTGACTAACATTGCACCTTAATATGTGTTTGCGGGAGATGTCTATGAGATTTCACTCTATAAATACCTGGAGCACTTATTCACTTCAGTGACATGATGTTGCGTAAATCTGGCAATTTTGCAAACGATGATTGTATCTGTTGTTTCCAGCAACTAAAATGAGAGAAAACCCAAACTGCTTGGTCTATCAACATTAATGAATTACTCGGACTAAAAGCACTATACTCTTCAAGTATCAAACCTCAAAAATTTAGGTGGCTAGGCAGTAACATGCCGTAGTCTATAATATCACTATTGCCATACATCAACTCCTAAGGCTTTGATCTATTCTAAAATTAGCACAACTACCACTCAAGACTTATTGAGATCTCCGTAGAATCAATCCTTTACTTCAGCCTTTCCACAGCAACAACAAGAACGTGTGATAGCAAACGTCTTAAATTGCCTCTAAATACTCTCCCCATCGTCATGACATGTGAAGAGGTAGCTAAGTGAAATCCTTCGGGGATTTCGGGGTCAAAATTCAAAGAAAGCAACTTCATCTCTGAACTACTAAGACACGTTTCAGGTTTTCGTGTCTTAAACCATAAGCGGACTGATCAGGTTAATAAATTGCGAAAAAGAAGTGATGGGTCGGTCAAAATCATCGAAGTGCAAAAGAAGTCTTTGTTTAGTCTTCACCTTTTTGGATAAAAATGTCAATTCTCATCTCCAACTGAATTCGAACAAAACCGTAAGGGACGTGAATGCGAATGCGCACGGAAAAGAAAGAAATGATGTAACCTCAGCTGCTGCGCTATTGTTCAATATAATGGTATGCAGGTGTCTAAATTCTGGAGGATTTCAGCTCCTTATTTCAATACGAGCCTTTTGAAGAAGCACTAAATTCATCACCACATGAAAGGAAGAAAAAAATGCTAAACTCCACAAAATAAAGGCCTCAAATGACTACACGGGATTACATAACTTAGCAATTCTACAATTCGTTCGTGAGTAGCATTTGCCACTAGGATCGATATTGCTGTATGGACTAATTCTGGAGATTCGCTCACTACCGCATCAAGCACATAAAAGCATTTCAATTCGTCATTATAGAGAAAAGGAGGGTTGAATGAGAGAATTGCAATTCGCTAGCTCGCCAAATCAATGCTAACCAATTTGCTTATCGGCCTATTCCCCAAAAATGACCTTAGGGGAGAAGGGGGGGGGGAAAGAGGTATATGCAAATGCTCCCTTCCCAAGTCCATTAATTAAGGTTAGCTAGAGAACTCCTCCTCAGGCTACACATCCTCACAGATTCCAAATATTAAAATTTACGATCACGCATCCGGCGAACGTCATTTTCTAATATTCCCAGCTTACGACCGTTTGGTGGCAAATATTTGGGCAATCCAAGTAAAGTGTGAGTTGATACTGCAGACTTTGGTAATTTCAAGTAGGTTTAATCACAATCAGTTGGCTATCATATCACTGCATGCACACTCTTGGGCATCAATCTCATGGTGTTTGACTTAGCCGACGTGCATGTCAATCACTGTCCCAGTGAGGGTAGTACTATTCGTGCTTGGGCTTCATCGTATAAACAAGAACATTTAAGCATAACATGATTTAAGAGCCCTTGTCCGAAGCACGTTGTATGCTGTTTTCGGAGTTATTATTACTTCTTAGTTGTCTTCATTATGGATGACCGCTATTGATTACAGGGATCCTACTTCATTTATGATTTTAGATGTCATCGAATTAACATGTCGAATGAATCAACAGCCTCTATATTTCCACCCAAAAACTGTGTGCTCTATGTGCCTACTTAAATACGTAATTCACTTAAAGTAAATAGAAGAAACTTATTGCTAATTATCTGTGTGTTTGGTTGGAAGCCCAACATCGAGGCTAAATTTGACTCAGAGCAGAGGGAATGCATAAGTGGAAAGCAGCAAACCCAAAACTATTTATTAGCTAATTAAAACTTTACATAGACATGCCAGTTGTCCACATGCTGCTAGTGTCAAGTACACAAAACACCGCCTTTCTGATTATCGTTTGTGCCTCAAATAACCACTTCAACTATCATAGGGGTGTGGGATAGACTTACCTCCACGTGGTGCACCCTGGGCAACCTATGCTCATGCGCCAAAATAGTCTATTAATCGGCAGTTGACTTCTGACTTCAAGCTACCATCACCCCACTGTATATCATATTTGACTACTTCCACAGTACTCACCTCACCTTTTTTCTACCTTTATGGCTGTCTCTTTTACATCTTTAAAACACTCTTTTGTTCACCCCCCCCCTCTCTCGACTTTTTTCGATTTGATGTTCCTCTCCCTCTGTGAAGCCTGAAGTCAACTAAAAGGCTAATGATAACTATCATAAAGCCTGCCATTTGATATAAATATACTATCATAAGATAATGATGGTGAGTGAATTTAAGACATCAATTGAGTATTGTAAAAATGTTTTGAAGTAAGTAAATATATAATAAATAATGGCGAAATAAGGTTTGTCGAAGAAGAAGAATGTGCCACTATTTCATAGA